CTGGGCCAGGCCCTCCCTGGGGTGGGGGTAACCGTCGGGGCTGTAAAGGGCCCAGGGGAGCCTCGGATGTGGCGCCGGGGAGTGGTGGGGGTAGGAGACCTGTCGGGCGGGCCGGGGCTGGAGCTGTCCCTATGTGTGGGACCCAACAGCAACAGCCCGGGGGCTGCCTGGGGAGCGGGGAAAGGGCGGCTGGGGCTCACTGCCCGCTCCTTTTGCTGCTCCGGAGGGCCCCGTGCGCTTAGCAGAGCTGCGGAGCTGGGATAGCGGCCTTTGTCGGGGTGATGGGCTGCTAATAGAGGCGTTAAGCGACGCTGGGAAGGAGCCCCCGGTCAGCGGTGGGGAGTGCTGAAGTGGGAGTGACCGTGCCGGGGTGACCCCGGCCGCCGAGGTGGGGAAGCGGAGGGCTTGGGGAGAAGAGACAAAGCACTTCCGGGCTGCCCCAATTACAGGGCTGAAGCGGAGCTGCGGGGCCCATGGGGCTGCTGCCCTAGGGAAATGTCCCTGTTGGGGCTGTAGAGCTGCTGAGAAAAGGGAGCTGCTGGGATGCAGTTGATGGCTTGGGAGAGCATTGCTCTGGAGAGTTTGGGGCCTGTGCCGCTTGTAAACACTGCTGTGCACGAGGAAGGAAGGAGGGTTAAGCTGATGGGAGGGATATGTTAAGCTGATGGGAGGGATATGTTAAGCAATGGCCCGATCTTGCTGTTCCTGCAGATGAGATGTGCCTGTGGAAGAGCATAATGTGGAATTTGTAATAACTGCTATGCATACTGCTGTAATGTTCTTGTTACCTACCTTGTAGGGACAAGGCCTGAAGTTGATGTTAATCATCATAATTATCTGAATCCTTATGTTTTAGAAACAAGGGGTAGAGTTGCAGTGGACTTATGTTAAAACTACTGTCTTGTTTTGCAGGTGGTGAGGTTTAGCATAGGTGCATGCGTAGCCTGTTACAATAGTAGAACATTGTGAAAAGGGATGAGAAGACTTTTTTGAGGTTTTTGTCAAGCCCCTTTGTTAAAACTGATATTCTGCCCATCCAGCTATCTTGTGATTAGCATCACAGCTGCTGTGCCATTCATTTAGTGAATCTAACTATAATAATCTGAGGTGACTCCTGTTTAGCTTCCTCAGTTGAAGTCTCTGGTGCCTTTGAGATGCATATTACTATTTGCTGAATTGGTTACAGTGGGAAGAAAACTCCCACTGAAGATTCAAAGTGCAACACCTGGGAAAAGAAGAAACACTTATCCATTTGTTTGGAATAAACCTCAAACCTGGTAGAGGTCAGCACTTTAGCCTGAAGATCTGAAAACCTGACCTTTAATTACTGTAGTGATGTAGTTCAAATAATGAGAACTTGAGAGTGTAACTGAGAAGCAGCTAGAAAAGTAGTGAGCAGGATGCCTGTTGCCTGTCGAAGGACTGCCAGATGTGTGAATAGGACACCATAGAAGACACAGGTATTGTATGCAGGAGAAGGTGCAGGCCAGAACACTGAAGAACTGTAGTATGAACTGAACACAGTGCTGCTGACTGGAGCTTGTGTTACCTTCTGCATGGATGAAGTAATTAATCACTCTAAAAATAGACAGTGGGGGGTTATAACTAATAAAAGAATGTGTGGTATACTATATGAGGAAGAAAGTGTAACTTGGGCTCTTTGAATTTCAGGTACTGGACTCTAGGAGTCCCTTCCGCTCATTTGTAGAGAACATAGTGCTGCTTATCTGCTGTGATCGATCCAGTTTCGAATTGACTCGAGCTTCATACTGGCCCAGGATGAAGGAAGTACTTCCTGAAGAATATAGGAATGGAAATGACTTTGAGGTAATCTTTGCTCTATCCTGGGGTGCTAGCTGTGGGTCAGGCTCCTTGCATGACCTATAAAACCAGCAGTGACCAGTAGTCACTGGGGTGGCTGTAATGGCTAGTGGCAGATGCACACAGGGTGTCTTAGACTAACAACCACTATCATTGTTGGTTTGCATCTAAAATGTTGACGTAACTTTCTGAAGTATTAGACAAACTTTAGGGGAGAAAATGAAAGGGACAGTGGTGTATCTACTAGTCCAGTGGTATGAAACCTGAAAGAAGCATAAATGAATTTGAGCTGCACATCTGATCCAGTGCTTTGAAGGAATGCTGTCATTAGGACACAAACCTGTGTATGACACATTCCGTTGTCAGCTAGACATCTCAGAAGAAGGTTGCAGAGACCTTCTGTTTTAGGCAGATCCTCGATGAGCCAGGCCTGCTTCAAGCCTTCTCCTATACTCTAGTGGTAGCAGATAGTCTGAGGCCTGACAGTAAGACTTAGTCCTGCGTATAGTACATGAGAATTAACTACTGTAGTTGTGTACTTTTTTTACTCGAGCACAGTTTTGTACACTCTGCTTGTGCTCTGTCTGTTTGACCGCCTCCCGGGTTCTGGAGCGGCAAGGACCCTACAATGCATCTGGAGATATCTGTCTGTTCTACAAAAGCTTATAACCTTCTTTCCTCTTTGAGGAAGAGATCATCCCTTTCTGTAGGGCAGAATGAACATCCTTGTTCGTGCTGACAAATACTACTGCTGTGAGTACTCCCATGGAAATTCCAGGAGTATCTTGGGGGGAGCATTTAACACCATTAGTAGCAGCTTCTGCTTTTCTACTTTCCAAGAATATAATAACCTTCAAATGCATAGGCTTCAGAAAACATCAAAACATGAGCAAGGGGAAAAGGATATAGTGTCTATTTAATTTTAGACTTGGGATATCACAGGGAATGTCAGTCTGTCCCTTGGACTGAGCAGCGAGGTTGATGGGCTCAGTAAACTGAATACCATTCATGTGAATCATTTGTATCCTATATGCTTTTACAGAACATTACCTGTGTAATAGCTGCACAGTTTATTAGTACGTAAGGCAGTAACGTGCGCAGCATCTTTATTTGCTGATGTTTTTGTTCCATTATGCTTTCTCTTATAAACTAAGCAAATCTTTTAAAGCGCAAAATTGGCAAGCCTTGGTATTTTTGAAGTTAGATTTTCTTGTGGTTTTAGAGTTTAAATACATAAGAATTCTCTTGCTATTGCTATATACTGTACCTAGCAAAATAGAGTTCTCTTACTAGCAGAGATCTTGAAGTGCTGCAATAACAGTAAGAAACTTAGAATTCTAAGCAATCTAGTCTACTCCCTCTGCTGGTGGATGTCTCCCGCTATGCGTTCACTAGCAAAATCAATCAAGAGCCACAATAAATCACTCTGAGTTTTTTTTTGACTAACAAATACTGACTGTAGAATTTAAAAGTACTTAAAAGCAAATACCTTACACCTGAATTCTCCCTTTTTTTAATTAGAAAAAATTCAATATAGAAGAATGACCTCTTGCAAGAAATGAGCCATACCCATAACATACTGTGTTTTAGAAATATGGAGCAAAAATGGTCAACGTGAAATCGTAACAAGCTGTTGACCTTCCCTGGTCCTTAGGCATTTTCATGAAATGTTGTAACTCATTATTTCCATTGATGTGTGCAGAGAGGTGGGCCAGCTTACTTTGTATTCATTTATTCAGTCCTGAGTAATCTGTGTTTAATATAGAGTGCTGGAGTGTGTCAGAATGAACAATTAAATGTGATTGTTACGGGAGACAGCTTGCCGTTATTGCCAACATCAGTTGTATATGCTTTATTCTTTTAATAAAGAAGGGGTGTGGCAAGTTCACTGTGTAATCCTTCATATTAAACTTTTACTTTTTTCCTATTTAGAATGGAAGTCTCTCACACGCTTGGGGGCCAGTACTTTGCATTGAGCTCCCAATTGATGGATGATGCAGGCTGTAATTTTTTTGTCAAGCCTGCTCTGGAAGGATAAGCAGG